ATCAATCGAAAGGAGACTGCGACCACACCAGAGGCCACAACATCTTGGTCTTCATATATTCAATCGAAAGACTGATAGTTGAATTTTCCCACAATGATATGAGTAGAGCTGATGCTTCCATAGAATTTCACATAGCCTTACTCTCCCAAAAGGTGTTCTCATCCAGGCTGAAGTGGACTACAGTTTCGAACCCGTTTAGGTCTCATCAGTACACCCAGAGGGACTCAAATCGTGAGAGATCAGCGTATAATCTCGACATGTTGAACACCATGCCACATTGCCGCGAGTGCCTGCGAGTCATGTGGAAGAAGTGAATTTCATGGATCTACAGGCATTTTCCCGCATCCCATTTGCTCTGTGACCCAAGGGTACTCGTGGCGGTGTGGCGTAGCGGCTAACATGTTGAAATTATACGCTGAACTCTCACGGTTCGAATCCCTTCTGGGCGTGTTGATAAATCCTAGGCGAGGTCGAAACAGCGGATCAGTCCAGCCTGGACGAGGGTACCGTTTGGGAAGAAGACATACGTGAAACCAAATGGAAAAGTAAGGTCTACTCATATCATTATGGGAAAATTCAATTATAAGTCCTTCGGGACCTTAAATACATCACATTATATAATCACTGGTAGTCTCGAAAACGTAAAATGGATCTAGGATGATTCGCTTAGTTTTCTTTTCTATTAATCTATAAGTGCGCATCTCTGTGTGTTTGTCTACGTATGGACCGGATAGAACCGTGCCGAACGTCAAGCACCCGTCATCAGGGCAGAGTGACCATGAAGGAAAAGTAAGAACGGATGTGAAATTCAAGAGAAGACATTAGCTTTACCCATAGCATTGTGGGAAAAATCAACTACTAGTCCTTTATCGCCTAAAACGAAACTGATTTACGAAAAAAGAACTACCTAAACAATCCATTATCTTCCAGTGATATTGACCTACGAACTTCTTCTTTATGCACTTTTATGTTAGAAATGAAAGTCTGCATAAAGCAATATAAGTTCAAGATATTCAGCGAAAATCCTATTACTCCTCGTGCATTATGCCTCCGGCAGTCATCACAACGAAGATTGATGCACACGTAGTCCCAAACACACGTTGAAGTTGCGAAAACCAAGCAGACCAAACAAGCTTGCTTCCATTTCGAGTGAAAGTGTTTGGTAAAAAGATTGGAAGGACGATTCCACCAGAAGACGACGGCGGATTCCTCCTGACCAGCTGTCGACTGGCTTTACTGGAGCATTCATGTTGACGCTCTTCCGGAGGTAATCACCTTCGATTCCGGTGAGAAGGGGCTAAGCTTTTGTTCGTCATGTGACGAACATCATCGCAGCATGGTATCATCATCACAAGCAAATTTAAGCTAACGAGCCAAGAAAACTCATCGGCAAATCTCTAAAAACCGGTATAAAGTGTTTTGTTAGTTATGGTTAAGCCAATCGACAGCTGGTCAAAATGAATCCGCCGTCGTCTTCTGGTGGAATCGTCCTTCCAATCTTTTCACCAAACACTTTCACTCGAAATGGAAGTAAGAGGTGAACAATTGTGTAACAAGCGCGTCATCGAAACCCAACTTCTCGTCGCATCTTTCATCAAGCCAAAACACCAGTCTCTTCATTCGAGCTGAATTTCGCTTGGCGGTTGCTCTGTTTGTCAGACTGACAAGCCTGTCGAGGCCGGGCGGAGGAGAACGGCCGAGAGCTGGACCAGTCGGAAGTGAAAGTCTTACGAAGATCACTAAGGCTTGAAGATGAAGCCTGAATACAATCGATTCAGGAATTGTTACATGGC